TAGTACTTTTCTTACCATCTCTTACTTCCCTCCCTACTGTTCTACCTTAGTTCTAAACCATCATCATCTCTCACATGGACCATAGAGTGGCTTCCCAATTAGTTCCCTCATCAGCTTTGGTTTCTCCATTTTATTTCCATACTGATGCCAAAATAATATATCTAAAGCACAAATCTGATTATAGCAATCTCTTGCTTGAAAATCTTCAACTGCTGCCAATTGGCCTGAGAACCTGGTGCTAGTTTTAAGTGTGGCACATGGGTTTTCCAATCAGTTTTCAAGGTTTTCCAGACAATTTGTCCCTGTCTCCCTCTCTAACCTCATCTCCTCCCTTCCTCCCTCTTTCTCTTTCCTTCTTATTTATTTATTCATCATTGAATTGCTCATAGCCCTATCACAGTTATGCCACGATAGAAAGGGAAAAAGTTTTCCCTATGTTATCTAACATGACAAACTCTCAGTGTTATGGTTTACATTTATATGCCAAATTCACAATAATTATAGTAGTAAAAGTAGCAATAGTTAGCATTTATAGAACCTTTTGACATGACAGAATACCGTGAAAAATACCTGGCATATATTAAAAAGTCAACATCTCAAAATAAAACAAAATAATCTTGAGAGGCAAATGGTTGTCTTATTTTTTAAAAAGGTATTATGAGAAACTGTTACCAACTGAGTTATTCCCATTTTATAGATGAGAAAATTGAGGCTTAGAGAAGTTATATAACTTGCCCAAAGCCATGGAGTTGGTAAGTGACAGAGTCAGAATACGAACTGAAGTTTCTCTGACTTTCAAACCCAAACTCTTGCTATCCAGCCTCCCCTCTCCCCTCCTATGCCTTGGTGCACAGCACATGTTTAACAATGACTGTCTCCCTGTTGGAGGCGGGGAGTTAAAGGGAAAGCCCTGACTCGTAGCATTTTCCAATTTCAAAGGGGTACATACTCCTGCCATGGCCAATTTCAAGCTACAAATGTGACGTTGTTGAAAGCAACTTGGAAAGAGAGGTATAGTAGTGCACAATTAATTATATGGAATCTCTGTCTTACAAGGACAATAGATGCAAATCACATCGAGAGCACAGATAATAGTAAAATAAGTTTAATATATTTATTACTTTTAAAAAACAATTTAATTTTAAGTTTATCTAATTTAAAATGGCTGTGTGTAACAGCCAGCTCACAAAATTCCTGATCATTTAACAACTGGTTTCCCTGAGCTGGTACAAGTCACCTCTGGCATGTCACTGCTCCTATGGGAGGTAAAATCGCTGGCATATAAAATGACTTCTTGTGTTAACAATCACAAAATAAAGTGCGAGCATCCTGTGACAAGTTTGGAGATGAAGAGTCTTCCCATATCAGGTGAGGTTAGGGTCAGTTCAGCAATGGAATTATCTGGCATTTTCAAGAGGGGTAAAACTGAAGTCTCTAACTCAGTGCAACTTTAACTGAATCATTAGACTTCCCACTGGCTCTTTCCCTCTCCTGGCAGCTCAGGAAGAGTGATGCTGATCTAGAATTTGGAGAAAATAGACTAAACTACAGCAGGAAAGAAGCTGGTCAGACATCAGAAGGACTTAATAAATGAAAGTTACTGGGTAACTGTGACATATATGAACAGTTAGCACTGTTGCATTTCTGTTATCTGTACATTTTCTAAACTAAGACGGAATCCAATCTTTGTAGGTTAGAATCTTTGTTATCAATAGAATTCTACCTAGAGCTCTCAGAAATACAAGTTTCTATCCCTTAAACTACATGTTATGTAAGCTTTTTTACCTTCAAATTCTTTTCAAATCCTTCATATTATAACAGTGCCTACTCGAAACCAGATATTAACAACAATCGCAAGCAACAAAAACAACAACAAAGAATAGCCATTTACAACAAAGGCATTCAATTTTTTTCTTCACTTATAATCTTCATTTGTATATTATTCATTTATTTTTCCCCATTGAAATATGAAACCATTCAAGCTTGTCTCTGAGTTTGGAGAGAATTGGCAAAACTCTGTGACACTAACACTATGTGCATGGCACTTACCTTTGTCTTACTCACATGGTGAGTTGCTGCTGTTTTTTTGTTTTCTTTTTGAAATTCCAAGACACTGGATAGCAGAGGACACTATTGCATGCCAAAAATATACAACTGACAATAATGCAGTGAAACAAAATTTATTATTCATTTAATGGCCCTCTATTAAGTCAAATAACGAATTAAAAAAACTCAACCTTACTAGTCTTCAAAAACATAAACAAATATGAGCCCTCATTGTTTTCATAATTAAAATTTATAAACACTGGGATAATAAGGACAGCAATGCAGGGGAAGGTGCTGTACAAGAGGAGAACTTTCAACCAGAGGAGGAAGCACAGAGCAAATTGTAAAGCCATTTGTGAAAGCAGTTTGTCATTTTGCTTCGAGGATCTAAAACACACACAGATGTTTATCCCAGGGTTGTTTATATTAGAAAATGATGAAAACAACTGACAAATACAATGGTATGGGTATGTTTAACTAGATTATTTTTTATATTTACATATTTTTACATCTTTTATAAAGAATGGAATATGATACAGCTATTAAAATGATATTTTAAAAGAACATTTAAAATACAGGGTAATGCTTTCCATTTAATACATAGTGAGTACTGAAAATTATGTTATGGTACATAATCTGAATTGCGTTCAACCAACTCTGAAAGGAAATAAGCCAAGTATTAATAGAACTTAGCTCTGTATCTTAGAATTATGAATGTTTTTTCTTCTTTCTTTTATCTTTTCTATTTTTCCCCAAGAAGTCTAATGTGAACATGCATTACGTTTAAATGAAAGCATAAATAGTGCAGCCCCTATTCATGTCCTTCTAGAATCCCTAAGGCAATCAGTATACTAGAAATAGAACAGACATCCCACCAATCTATGCATTAACAAAAGAAACAGTAAAATAAATCATGTTGCCATTCAAGTGAGCCCAGGTGCAAGACTGGCTCAGAGACAGATTGGTTGAAAGGATCGGGAGGCTGGGATCAATAGTTTGGGGTTTGGGGATGTTGCCTGAAAAAGGAGTAACCGATGAATCAATGTCCAGAGACTAAAAGAGTATATGAATTAAAGTCTGGTTCCATCAGGGGTCCCATCTAATGGGCTGGGTCCAGTAAAGGCAGGAGTGACAATGAGGATGGATTTAGAATGACCACTCCATCAGAGCAGGACTGAGTGTACCAGGTTCAGTGCCCTGGAAGAGAAATGGATTGGACTGTAGGACCACCCCAGCCAAAAGTGGGGAGGGGCAAGTTATATCCAGCAGAAAAACAAGGAGCATATTCAAGGAATTGAGCCTTTCCTGACTAACGAGCTCATGTTTAACAAGTTCAAGGAAAAGAGGAAGAGAGCATTCCCCTGGGGAGTGGGGTGGGGAAGAAGTCAGAATTAATGGGAAAAGCAGCAAGGCATTAAGAAACCTTCAGATAAAGATGTTCCTGTGCTGTTTCTGACTCTTTGGGCACTTAGGGTCTTTTAACTCTGTCCCCCTGCTCCCCACATTCCTTCTTCCAGTCTCCTTTTTCCAGATGACCGCCTGTCTTTGCATGTTCATGGTTTCTGCTCTTTCATGACTTTGGCTTGCTTTTGGCTATGCTTTGCTCCGATTCTACATGATTTTTCAGCTCAGCTTCTCCAGATTAGACTCATTTTCTTCAGTGTCTGAGATTCCTGGGAGAGAAACCTGATTGAACCAGCTTAGTTCAGGTGTCTAATCTTAGTCCAGTCATCTGCGGCTAGGAGTGAGAGTAGGGCAGGGCAAGCAAGACCACCTAGGACCAACCCCTCAGCAAAGAAGGTGGGTACTGGCCCCCAGCAATCCCCCAGCACATTTCTGGACTGAGGCAAGAGGATGCTCAGGGAGATGGGTTAGAAATGACGGGTGCTGGGGTGAATCCTGTGACTCCAGTGTCAACTACTGACAGGAATGGCAAAGCAAGGCTGACAAACCACAACAAAGTCAACAATGCTGATCTCTCTGTAAGTTGCAATTTCTACTTTCTTTTCCTACTGCAAAATGCATGCACAACATTCAAAACAGGTAACCATCTGCCTACAGCTTACCTAGGTTACTAGCAATTTCTATTCTTCTAAGCACAAATTTCTCCCCAGCCTCTCATCCCTACATCCTCTTACACATCACACTGTGTCCTGATTCTCTTACTCAAAAGTGGCATTATTTAATGGAAATAACATTGAATCATCACTGCTTTGTTTTTTCCAGAATATTAATTTTAAAGTTTCAAACCTGTAGAGAAATTGAAAGAATAGTACAATGAAAATTCATGTTTATTTTATCTAGATTTACAAACTAACCTTTTGCCACATCTGATTTATCTTGTTCTTCTCTTTTGTCAGAACCATTTAAGAGGAAGCTGTGCATATAAATGACTCTTCAACCCTAAAGCCTTCAGCATGTGTCTCTAAGAACAAGGGCTTTCTTTTACAAAACCAGAATGAGATGGTCATGCTCAATTTAATACCAACACAATTCTATAATTTAATATATGGACAGTCCATATTCAGATATTCCCAATTGTTCTAATAATCACTTTTATAGTTGTTTCTGCCTCTGCACACCTCATGCAGGATTCAGTCAAGGGTTACAAAGTGCACTGGGGTTGGCATGTCAATTTAGTCTCCTTTAATCTGCCACAGTTTCCCTGCCCTTTTATTTTTCCTTTCATAAAACTGATATGGTTATGAGTACAGGAAAGTTGCTTTGGAGAATGCTCCTTAATTGGGTTTTGTCTGTCTTCTGATTTGATCCAGGTTAAATTCTTTCTTTTGGCAAGAATGTATTCCAGGTGATGCTGCATCTGTGTCAGTGCATCATAACAGGAGGCAAATGATGTCTATTTGTCCCATTATTATCAACACCGCTTGATCACTGTGCTTAATTTACTTTGTAATTAATCTACAAACATTGTAATTTAATTGGCAATAAATTACCTTCTGTAGGCCTGATAACTGTTGGAGGATGCACTTGTGCATAGGCAGGCTGTTGCTGAACATTATAGCATTAGCTAACTTCACTGAAGCGCAATGCCCCGTTGACCTCTCCTGGATGTTTCCTTGGCATGGGCTGGAGAGACAGCATGCTAATCAATTCCAAGTGTAAGCCCCGTGTCACACTGCCTGGGTTTGAATCCCTGACTCACGCCTTACCAGCAGAGTGACTTTGAGCATGTTCACCAAACTCCATAAACATCAGTTCCTCCTTGATATAGATAATGATTGGCCACCTTGCAGAGTTGTTATAAGAATTAAATAAAATAATAAACATAAATGACTTAGTACAATACCTAGGACAGCGTTAATGTTCAATAAATGTTGTCGTATCCTTATATGCCATGTTCCCTTTAAAAACAAATGAAATCAATGTAAATCACAGTACTTCAGGAACCTAGATTTGGGAATATCCGTGGACGTCCCCTAGATTTTGTGAACAATCCATATTATTCCTATTTTGGTGCTCTTCTCAAACATTTAATGTAACTAAGAATCACTCCAGGGCCTAAAAGGCATATTCTGATTCATCAAGCCTAGAACAGAACCTGAAATTCTCACAACTTCCTGAATTATGCCAATGCCACTGGGCCACGGACCATACTTTGAGTAGCAAGACCCTAAATGAGTCCCAGGAGGAAATGCCCTGCCAAGATTTTCACTTCATACTATAAAGGTATAGTGCTGACCTGTTACAGTGAGCTTTCGTGGGAAACTACCTCTAGGTCTGCTTTTCTTTTGGGGGTATGTCTAGCAACCATTAGTCAAGGACTATGCTGATTACACCACCTGGATGGTTTAGAAGGGGACTTTTACCCCAAACTTTATTTGAAGGTCTATTATTTTACATTTATACAAATATGCTATATCTAGTAATGCCCATGAAGGATGAAACAGTGGAAAATACTTTGGATTCAGATGACAAAAGTTTAAATGCTGATTCTTCCATTTATTAACTGGTTATCAAGATCAAGTTATTAATATTTAACCTCTTTGGACCTCAATTACCTCATCTAACAATGGTGAAAATGCTAACCTCGTGGATCCTTTGTGTCAAATTATATCTATATTTATATCTATATCTATGTATATGTAGAAAGGTAGAGGAGAGAGAGAGAGAGAGAGAGAGAGAGAAGATATAATTAATATTTCATGGCATATGTTAGGTGCTTAAGAATGCGTGGCTGGGATAACTTCTGTTACCATTACTTGTGAACCTGTCAGGGTGTATTTCTGTTTTCATCAAGTAATTTTTAAGGGTTGCAAGGTCACAGACCCATAGAGTCACATCATTTTAGAGCTGGCAGCAAGCTCTCGGTGTTCCTTGGGGACCTATTCTTCCCTGAAGATAAATCTATCATTCCTTTCTCTCTTGGGTTTTGCTAATGGCAGGACATGGGTCCTAAGAAGCTCACATGCACTCATTTGCCTGCATGCAGTCTTCAAATTAGATTAGCCACCTTCATTCCTTGTGGTCAAGATTCCAATTTGCTTCAAACTCAGTAAGCACAGATATGTGCTTAAAATTCATCTCCACACACACTCCAAATGAGGAAAGGTCTCCAAAGTCTCAGAAAAGCAAAGTTGTCTTTGCATTTAATTCCCCGTGGTCTCCTGGGAGCCTTCAACGAGCATTTCAAGTCTGCATAATAGCACAGGCAAACTGCTCTGTTGTACCAGCAGGGGCCATTCTGAGGTGCAGGCATCATCCTTTAGTTAAAACTGGATTTTAGTCCAGTCTATTTTGTTTTTCATAGGGAAGACTGATGCATTAGCTGCACTTAGTTGAGAAGACAGAACGTGTCATTCATATTATGTGATAGAAAGAAATGGATTCCTGAGTACTTTGGGCTAATTACTAGCTTTGGTGTAGGGCAATTTCCCTCCATTCTAGATGCGTGATGACTGCAGGAGGGTAGTGGCTCCCTGTGGACTCTGCTACATCACAGGAACCTCAAACTCAACTTCACAGTGTCACAGGTAGAAAAACCACAGAATTACTACCAAAAATTAACAACTTGATTTTACAGATGAGGCTCAAATTTAGATGAAGGCTTTTTGGAAACCACAGTACATGTGGAGCAGAGCTGCATGTTGAAACTGGACTCCGCTTTCCAGTTTCTGTTACAACAACGTTAAGTGTTCTTCGACAGAATTCTGCCCTTGCAACAAATCTAACATTATGCATTTCCTTACCTGTAGCAAGAATGAGGAGTCTGTAAATCCGTAGGCAGCCCCTGCTTCCCCTGGCACGTGAGCCTGGAAGTACCAAAGGGTCGAAAGAGACAAGCAAGCAACGGTTTCTGACTCCGTCCTAAACATGAAAATCTATGGGACCTACCTTCTTCCTAATCCTCCTGTTTTGGCCTGAGAGTGTCTTGCATTGTCTTTTGTGAACTGACACAGGGCCTTGAGTCTCCTCCTGAGTGTGTAAACCCTTCTGACTCCTCTGTCATTTTGCTTTGTGGCTCTTGGGTCCTTGTGTTTGGAAGCAGCTACATTAAACTCATATCCTTGGTGTAGACCTCCCTCCAGGCCTCCCTCCAGTCTCACACAGAGCAACCACCACTTTGAAAGAAGAAAGAAAGATTATTCTGTCGATGTTATTCAACTCTGACCTGAGGCAACATAGTGATCGTGGCTCTCAGCATCTTATAGCCTCTAGTTTTAAGAGCATTTTCAGTTGACGAGTTCCTCCCACCGAACACATCCCTCCTCTCTGGGAGTTTGTTGTAAATCCTTGTGAAAATTGAGCAAGAATATTATTTTCTATGAAGTGAGAACTATCCTACCCATGTTTTTGGAATAGGATGCTGAGGTTTAGAGATGATAAGGGCCCCACAACTCTTATGTGGCAGAATCAGAATTTGATTCCGTGTGAATCTGTTTTCATGGTCCACGGCTTACCGCTTCATCCACATTGCTTCTCTAACCCTCCCTGGCATTCCATTTGGAGTGGAAAGGATGTTTATGACATGCGGGTCTTCCAATTCCATGAAATCAGAGCCCATGCTGTTCACAGGACAGGGAACAAATACTGCATTTGCAAACCCCGCTCTGTAGCCTCTGGGCCTTTAAGTCTTTGTGAAAACTACTATTATCCACTCAGCCTTGGAAAGTCCGCAAGAATCTGGACCTCCAAGGAATTTTCCATTCTTCTCTAGAACTGAGAATCCTGGGGGAAAATGTTCTTTTTCCCTACAATGTCCCACGGAAAGAATAGCTGGAGTCCTCTTTTCCATAAAAGGGAAATATGGCCTATGTCCACCATATTATTGTTCTTCTCTCTAAGAAGAAACGATGATGATGATGATGATGATAATGATGAAGATGTAGAGGATGTTGATGAAGAAGAGGAGGAAGAGAAGGAGGAGCAATACCTTCCATGGACCAGACATTAATCCAGGCACTCTCCATAGCAGATTTCTAAAACATATGATTACCTTATGATAAAACATGATAACTCTGATTTTATATAGAGGAAATTAAATCTCAGAGGGGTTCATGCTCCAAAGCAAGTAGGAGGCAGAACTGATATTCGAAGGATGGTCATTCTCTTCTCCCTACCACACTTCCTTCCATATACTATTTGGCACACTAATGCCCAATTACTTTGGACTTTTGACTGTCTTGCCACAATAGAAACTCACGTTATCTTTCGCACGTGGCTTTTAGCAATTGCAGAAATGTAGGCTGTCAGAGGACTCCATTATTGATGACCAAACTGGAGGCAAGGATTCTGGATCACACCCCTCACCCCACAAGGAGACACATCTCTTTTGTGCCCCTTCCTCCAGGGCACGTAAGAATTGTGACTGCAGTAATTCTATCACAATTACTCAATAACCTTAACACAGGAGGAAAACGTCAGTCAAACTGGCTATCCTCCTCACATTTCACGCCTGTCCCAGCTAGTGCAGCCTAGTCCGTCCATCCATCCTCTATTCTCCAGGGGCGTTAAGGGACAGCCATCCAGGAGAGAGGGCTGCTCGGTTGATTGACATGGGGCTTGTGTGCAGAGAACAACGGAGGTTTTTGAGAATTATTGAAGTCCGTCTGCTTCACTGATGAAGGATCTGAATGGAAATTGCCTTTAAAGGATTCTAAAAAGGGAGAGATAACAATAGATCAAAGCCGGTCCAAAAAAATGGAGAACGCTTTATTTATAGCTTCCACATTAATTCAAAACAATCTGATGAGCAGAGATTTGCCCATGCACGCACTTCCCACAGAAACAAATGCCTCTCAGGTTGCTTTTATTCTAATATAATATCAATGCCCAAGGCAAGAAACATTCTGTACTTCACTCCACAGAGCCTGTCCAAATTTGCAATTAAATGGAACTGACACAGCTGATCATTCTGAAGCTTGTTTTCGTTTCAGTTGGGGCTTTTTTTTTTTTTTTGGAAGCTCAGATATTATGCTGGCTCTATCCCAAACTGATGGAGCTTACTGTACTATTTTTTTCCTCCCAGGCACTGGGACACGGTGTTCAGTTAGAGCAGTGGCCTTCACCCACGGCAATTTTGTCCCCCAGAGGACACTTGATAACGTCTGGAGACAGTTCTGGTTGTCACAATTTGATGGAGGAGTTGCTACTGGCATCTAGTGGGTAGCGGTCAGAGGCGCGCGGAACATGCTAGGACGCAGAGGACAGCTCCCGCAAACAGATTTTATTTGCCCAAAATGTCAGTGATGCCGAGGTTGGGAAAGCCCAGGTTAGGGGACAGCCGGTTGGTAGGGCTGTCCAGCGTTGGGGAGATGAGAGAGGCCCTCCTTCCTGATGTGGTAGGATGCGCTGTAACTGGAGGAACGAATGTGCTGCTATTCTAGGTGAGAAAGAGGAGCAGGAAGCCCCAAAGAGAAACCAGAGTGGCACACAGAATCAAAGCACTGCAAACAGACATTTGGTTTAAGATTATGGGGTCACATTTGTAGCGCAATGGAGATGTATGAAGAGAATAGGGCCGAGTGGGCTTAGGGCAGTGTTTGGCCACAGCTTTTATTGTCTACTTCTCATTTTTTTTTTTTTTTTTTTTGAGACAGAGTCTCACTTTGTTGCCCAGGCTAGAGTGAGTGCTGTGGTGTCAGCCTAGCTCACAGAAACCTCAAACTCCTGGGCCCAAGCAATCCTACTGCCTCAGCCTCCCGAGTAGCTGGGACTATAGGCATGCACCACTATGCCCGGCTAATGTTTTTCTATACATTTTTAGTAGGCTAATTAATTTCTTTCTATTTTAGTAGAGATGGGGTCTCACTGTTGCTCAGGCTGGTTTCAAACCCCTGAACTTGAGCGATCCGCCCGCCTCGACCTCCCAGATTGCTAGGATTACAGGCATGAGCCACCGTGCCCAGCCTTGACCTCTCAATTTTATTGTTCGCTACAGGGTGGGATGCGGAAGATACGGTACCATTTGGAGGTCTAGTAATGAGACAGATGCTTTTGTAATATTTGCTTTATTGTTGTTATTTTTTTCCTAACTAACGTACGGTATCAGAATATCTTGGATAGGGGTCTCAGACAGGTGACCCACAGGTGAATTAAACAAGCAGGTTTAATCTTTCATTCTGCCAATGCGATGTTGAGGAAAGAAAGAATGAAAAAACAAACACACACACACACAAAAAAGAAGAAAGGAAGAAATAAAGGGAGGGAGGATGGAAGGGAGAGAGGAGAAGAAAGGCGGGTTGTTTGCATGTCTCCCGTAGGACAGATATTTTTGGTCCCACAAACCCCACCCCTTCCTGTTGCTATACCTGGGCTCAGTCAGACAGGAATGTTACTCTCCTGACCTTGTCAGCATTTACATTTTGGCTTCCCTTGGTCTTATATTTCATCATTGCCTTCTAGATGTTTTAGCATTAGAAAAGTTCTTAAAACTATATTACGGTTTGCTCTGTCCACAAGGTTGTCCTAGATTTCATCTACTGCACCGAGAAACTTGAGAGTTTGATGGTTTTTCAGGAGCGGTGTGAGAAGCCAGTCTCATGGCTTTATAGTCACACTTTAAATAAAGGATCATAACATGCATGTTGGAGGTGGAAATAGCCACAAGCACGGTCAGCCTGGTGGTAGCTCCCTTTCAGAATAGTCTGGGGAGCTTGAAAGACACCCCTTCTCTGGCCCCAGCTCCAGATATTTGGATTTAACTGATGAGGGGAGGGCCTGGGCGTCTGTATTTCTAAAGGCTCTCAGATGATTGTAGGTGCAGCCAAGGATGAGAACCTCTGATCTGAGTCTGTGCTCCTCATTCTCAGAAAATGAAGGTCAGAGGGGCATAAAGTTTGCTAAAATATACTTGCTAAATGTGTATGTTTCTAAGGCTTTTTTTTTTTTTGCCTTCTCCCTCTAATCAGGACTAAATATGCAGTGGAAAGGATAAGAGGGAAATCCAAGAACCATGCGCTAGGACTGTTTCCAACTCTTGCGAGCAGAAGGACTGGCTGGCAGTTTCTGGAAGGGGTCGGGCTCTCCTGAGTGTGGCAGCTGAGTAGCTGGTTTGGGACTTCTCTGGTGCTCAGAAACGTCCCAGGGATGTACTGGCTGGTTTGTGGTGCTGCCTTGGCTTGAGAAACACCTTCTTTTATTTGCTTTGATTGAATCCAATATTTTTTTTTTCTCCTTGGAATCTCAGGCATATCTGTATTATCCAAGGCATGGATGGAGAGGTATTTTGGAAGGATGCGAAAATGTCTGTTCTTACTGAAAAAAAATATAATTCAATCTGTCATCATAGCAAAATTAATAGGGAAGGAAATACAAGCTGAATTCTCCTTGAGAAAAATGATGGCCCAATGATGTGTGTTGGTAGACACGGTGTCTCGCACTCCTGATGAGAACAGAGGCTGCGTCAGAGCACGGGTGCCTGGTTCTCTCAGCTTAGTTGCAATAGAGGAATCGCACCTCCTCATCCAAATCCTAGGTTCACTAACTACAGATTCTGCAAACATGGGTAAGTGGTCAAGCCCACAAACAAAATAAAGATAATGACAACATACAACCTTACAAATACCTTTTCCAAAGATTTAATAAAACTCTGAAGAGGGTGGGATACACTCAGTGGCCAAGAAGTGTAGGAGATGGATACATGTTGAGTACCCCAAATATGCCGGGCACTTTCTATGCCTTCTCTCATTTATTCCCATAGCGACCCACTTGTAAGGTTGATATTCAAGACCACATTTTATTAAGTCAGAAACTGAGGATCAGAGAGATTAAGAAATTTCTGCAAAGATCACATGGCTAGGAAATTGCAGAGCTAAACTCCAGATCGACATATCTACCTGTATGTTTCATGTGGTTTTGTTGAGCACCTGCTTGTGTTTAGATGTGGGTTTTGGTTTTATTGGATGGTCTGGACTTAGTAGGATTCAATCAAGAAAGAGTCTCATTCTGCTTTCATATTGTCTTCATACACACTTTCCCATCCTTGATAACATTTCAGGCAGATCACACGGTTTGTCTAACTTCTTTCTAGTGACTTTCCCTTATCACACCAGTCTTACTTTCAGATATTAAAAATATCAGAAATTAATATCTAAATTAATATCTAATTTGATACTTTCTTCCACCCCATCCCTTCTAACCTTCACCCCCGCCACCTCCACCACATCACCTCCCTGGCATGGTGCAGGTCAGACGCACATGTTTATGACCTGCAAAGTGGGAGGGGGTGTTCACTTTTCATCCTCCTCTCTCATTTTGCTTCTCCTTTTCATTTGTTCTTTCTTCCCTCCTCCCCCACACCCCCTGCTGCTTCTGCTTTCTTCAGGATCAGCTCAAGGAGAAAATTGAGGAATTAAAGTCTAAAAATGGTTTTACATGACTGATACTGTCAAATTTGACATCTGCACCCTCTGTCTGGCAGACACTCAAATGCTGGTGTTGCTACTCTTGGGGGGCACTGGCTGGTTCTTTGGAGGTATCCCTAGGTTTGATGAATAGATAGGAGGACTCACAGGAGTCAGCGCATAATCATACTCACAGCCATGATTTATTACAGCAAATGGATTCGGAACAAGATCGGCAAAGGGAAAAGACACATGGGGCAATGCATGAGGGAAACCAGGCACGAGCTTCCAAAGCTCCTTCCCAGTAGAGTCACAAATGACACGTTTAATTCTCCAGCATGAGTTTTGATATATGTGAAGTATTGTCAAGGAGAGAAGCTCATTAGAGACAACACATCCAGAGTTTTTCTTGGGGGCTGATAGGTAGGCAGCCTCTGCCTGGCACATACTAAAATTCAAAACTCCCAGAAGAAAAGCAGGTGTTCAGCATAAACCATAGTGTTTGTGCAAATGGTTTAGGCACCAATCTTATCAGTTATGGGAAGGAGGGTGGTGGAAACATTCTGAGTTCCCAGAGAGTAGCCAAGGCTCGTAGTCAAGGGCTAACCTTGTAAGCAGGCCTTTCCAAGAACGGCAGCTGAACCGGCTATGCTAACTCTTTTCTGCACACACCCCCATCCCTTTCAAGGCCACTTGCATGCTGCGCTGCTGACCAAGACTGTCTCACCAACATGGTAGGGCTCTAACTCTCAGAATATGTTTCTAGCAGCACAATCTAGCTCCTTCCTCTTGGGAAACTGCAGCCCAGGCAGATTGTCTCTTGGGTGACTCCCTTTTGTGGCATCCTTTTAACTGATGGAGACATTAGACAATGTTCCTGAAGTTCCAGGGCACTCCTGCTGCGGGTCTCTAGCTCAGCATTCACATCCAGCCAGCCTTCTGCTAGAACAAGAGCCAGTTTATTCTGTGTCCACCAAACTCTGAGAAATACTTCTCATGCCCTCCCAAGAATTTCCTCACTATTCTGGTCCTCTGTTGGTCCTGGGAGCCACTGAATTCCCTTCCTTGGCTTAAGAGAGGCTCCCTCTCCCATATTCCCTAGCAGTCCAGCCATGTCTTGCAAAGACACCCTGGACACATCTCTAGCCTGCTGTTACATGGAGATTGGAGGTGGGTAATGAGCAAAGGAGTTCAGGATGGGTTTGGCCACCTCTTAGCAAGTTCTTTGTTGATGTGTCCAAGTTATTTACTGACTCTTCAGAATTTGCAATACTTGTTCTTTTTTCTTCAGAGCTTTGGGCTTCTGCCAAAATTCCAAGAAACAGGAGAAGTCCCAGTTAGCACCATGTCACTAGACTCTCATTTCCGTATCTTTAACTGTGTTCCCATTTCCATTGCTCTGGTTCAGACAAGATCACCTCCTAGTTCACCTGGACACCTGCAGGCCTTCTGTTTCTCCTACTTATGTTCAGTCTTCCACACTGTCTCCAGCATTCTATTCCTAATATGATTTGATCTTGTTATTTGCCTGCTCAATCTCTCTGGCCACCCAGAAGCCACAGGAATGGCCACAAAAACCCTCATAGCCTGGC